CCCCGAGAAATTTTGAACTTTAGTCTCTCGGAAATGCGATTTGCAGCGTTTTCTGGGCCTTTCGGTAACTTTTTTTCGAGTTAATTTAAGTGGAATTTAAAAAGCAATAATCAGAAACAAGCTACATAATCTGGGTGACCGTTAACCTCGCCAATGGTTTTGATCAGTATTTGTTCAAAAAAAATTTGAGTTAACGTACGTAGCCCCTTGAGATCGATGATATGGTAATTTTTTCATAGTATATTGACTGAATTGCTGAATTCTTTGTAATATCATGATGCGTTAAAAATATCCGATGATCGCTTATGTAAAATAAAAATGATCGGCGAAATTCGTCAAAATTTTACCGAGGCGAGTGCCTCGGTTGGCCTCATACTAGCTACGGCGCTGCAACAGACACCCCTATAAGATGGACACCTCTGTAAAACAGACACTTAGAGTTGGTCCCTGCCTTTCTTTATTCCCTTTATTTGACTCTCTATAAGATGGACACCTCTCTAAGATGGACACTTAGTGCCGGTCCCAAGGGTGTCCGTCTTAGCGAGAGTTGACTGTAGTTAAATACTCTTCATTGATTTGGTTTGCAGGTATTAAAGATCACCCATATTCTCTGTCCTGGAATGAGATTCAGCATCTCAGGAAACAAAGTCATTTTGACCAAGCAGAAATAGAAGCACTGGTAGAACAGTTTAAGACACTGGCAACAGAGAAAGCAGGAATTACCCGTGAAGTGTTCGACAAGTGTCTTGGTCCTCTTGGACAACACAAGAACTTAGTCATGGATCAGATGTTTAAATTTTATGACCAAAATGGTGATGGTCTTATTGACATTGATGAGTTTGTCATTGGGCTTTCTATTCTTGTCAAAGGCAGTGAGAAAGAGAAGATCCCCTATGCTTTTGCTGGCTGTGACATTGAGAACAAGGGTTATATTTCCAAGGAGAATTTAAGAAGTATGTTTAAGGCATACTTTGAGATTAGTCTTGAGTTGGTACGTGATGTTGTGAGGTCATGTGAAGAGGAAATGATGGCTTCCTTCGATGACTCTGCCGACAAACCAGTGTCTTCAGTGTTCAATGCACCCATTCCTAGCGACTCAGGTCCATCAACGTCAACTGGGAAACCAGCCATGGTTCTAAATAATCCCGGAAATACGAGTGCTCAAGGAATTGACAGAAGATGGCCAATCATGGAAGCAATGTCACAGGATGCCATTGATGAGATGGTGAACAATGTATTTCAGTGTGCTGATACTGACAAGGATGGCAAGATCTCCTTTGAGGAATTTGAAGCTTGGGCTGCAAATGATAACACTATTCTTGCCTGGTTTGAAGCACTTGGTACTATTTTTTAACTCAATCTGCACTTATATTTTGTGCTGCTCCAACTAGAGGAAAAATCTGAGGTGGTGAGATGCTGTCAAAAATAAGAGTTAATATATTACAGAGCAAATTCATGTTTATATTTAGATCAGTTAACAATAGCAATGAAATCCAGTGTTCTCCTTATCAGGTGGAAACCGGTAAAATTTACTGCTTGAAGCAACACTTCCTACTGCCTGCAATGGCTTGAAGGTTTACTAAAATTATACAAGTTATTTTGCAAGTTGTGATCTTCTTTCTTAGATAGACCACGCATCGTGGAAAGAGAAGGTTTAAAACAAGATAAAATTATTGGAATCACATGTTTTAATTTGTCGTCTAAAGAATTAAACTATAATTTTGATGGGACTTCATTTTGTAGGAGGTCTTTAAGCCCAGAATAATAAATTGTGGCTCTTTAAAAAGTAGATTGTAAATTTAGTTGTGAGTTTTTAACCTCAGATAGGAAGGGCGATAGCTTACAACAGCAGATAGCCTAAAAAAGGTCTTAAAATATGAGAATGATTTTTTAGACTTGTAACTTATTACCTCCTAAAACTTTCCCAAGGAGGGTAGGGCCATGTCCCTCACCTCACTTCCCCCCTCCCACAGAAAAGTGCACCTCTGGCGTATGTTTTTTGCCTAACCGGTCAGGAATGGTCCCTTACCTGCTGAGCTAAAATTTAGGGAGAACACTGGAAATCAGAAGCTCTTGAAGCCTTTTTGAGTGGCAGCAAAAACATTCACAATGTCTTGACAAAAATAACTGTAACTATTTTAGCAACTTAAAAAAAGACTTTCTTGAGATGTGATCATTTGTACTCCCAATGACTTTTTCTGCATCAGAGAAGTTCTGCTGGCCTGAAATTTGTTGGTCAAAAAGTATTGATAAATCACTGACTCAAATTTTGTTATTTGATTATTTACAAGTAACTGTTGTGTTTCTGCTTTTGCAAGATATGACTGGTTTTCATCATTTTTTTGGTACTGCTCTTTTCTTAATATATTTTGACAAAATGAAAATTAGACTTTTTCTTGAGTGAAAAGTCTGAGTGGCTCTGAAAAATATTGAAACCCAGCAGCTGTTTAATAAAACAAATATCTTAATTTTCAAAAGAAAGAAGGTTCCTTGCCTTTTCCATTTTGTTCTATTTTGGGACCCAAGAGGAACTTTTAAAATGTTTTCTAACAATTTTGACATAATTTTTCACAAAGTGTTTATAACGAGTTTTGTTTTTTATGTAGCAATTTAGACATTCAGTGTTGGATGTATGAAATACAGAAATCTTCAGGCTTTAAAATTTGTATAAAAGAAAGCTATGTATTTATTTATTTATTTTGTTCATACCTGGAGTGAAGTTTAATAAAAACATCTGCCAAGGGTTTAAAATTGTTGTACAGATTGTTATCACTTAGAAGGTACTTCAATGCTGCTTTGGTTTGATGAGATCAAGCTCGATATTCTTTGAACTATTTTCACGCAGTGTAACGAATTAAGTGATGAGAAATAGCATTTTGATCTTATCGATTCTGTATCATGCAATGCATTTCGCCGCGCTTCTTGACGTGTTGGCGGCTCGTTTTAGCCGAGTGCTTGCACCATTATGTTTCGTGAAGCCAGTGATGTTTTCTAGTCGTTGGACGTAAAAGGAATAGATTTCATCTTTTTTATTCAGTGAATGGCACTCACAGCAACGATTTTGGCTCCTGGCGAAATACTAGTCGGTTAATTCATTCTTCACGCTTGGGGTCACATTACACTGTCTGCAGACAAACATGGTTCTTTCACATTTGAGGCATCTGGAACTTCCACACATCGATAAAAAGAGGTGGCAAAAGCTTAAAGAGCTCTATGCTGAATTAGACGGAGTACAGAATGCAAAAGATCTAACTGTCGTTCTGGAAAAATTATACGATGTAGCAGGGAATAACAACGAACGTGTTTCTCCTGACCGTTCAGTGGAGATTTTGAATTCCGATGGTTTCGGGTCCAGCTGGTGTTTTGAAGGCTTAAAGATATTTCTTGAAGAGATAGCAACGCGAGAAGAAAAAGAAGCATTTTTTATCTCAGTTCTTCCTTTCGTTGTCTCTTTGGCATCAAGCGTTGACGAGTTTGCTCCTAGTGAAAGCATTTTACTTTGTTCTCAACAGCGCGGTGAGTATTGTTTATACACCTCCAACTATTGGCTTGTGCAAATGATAGTTTCATTTTGTTTTAATTAATACAAGTGATTGAACCCATTAGCGATCAAGGATTAAATAAACTTAACTCGAATCATACCATTAACTCCTTTAAACCATGGGGTTTTTTACCTCATAATTCCAGCTCTGAAAAAATTAGGGCTTGATTGATAACAATTATTCGTGTCGACACACCCCCTGTTGATTCACCTTAGGGTCGTTTACAAATATCTCACGACAAGACAAAAAGCCCTATTAATGCTTTTGTGATTTAATACTTACATGTTTTTCAGTATGATGTAGTCAATCCACTTAGGTGAGAAAACTTAAGTTAATGAGAAGAAATCAGGAGCCGGTTTTAATTGTGTTTTTGTCTGACCCATGCTGTATCGTTGTGTACGTTGTGCGCAGATCAATTGAGTTCAAATTCTAGTGAGGCCCCGACGTTATTGGAGGGGGCCCACTCCCTAAAATAGCCTATATGGGGAGGTTCTGCCCAATGGGGGTATATATGTAACATTTCAGATGTGATATCACAACTGAACTTGAATCATTGGATAATGCAATGCTACAGCTCTGATTGGCTTAGCCATCATGGTATATGAGCCATCATGCCATGCTGTCCAAATATGGTAACTCTAAGTGTCTGCTCAAAATTAAAAACAAGCTGAAATCGGTTGTTTTGCAAATACAGTCGGGAAAAATTCTCAATATTTTGTGGGCATTTTCGATAAAACTATTCCACTCGCACTTGTTGGAGATGATTATAGCCAACTCGGTGCTACACACATCATTGGCTATCTACCATCTCATATCCAGGGTTCGCACGCACCTTGAACGTCCTTGAAGGTCCTCTGATTTTGAAATAAAAATTCAAGGCCTTGAAAGTTCTTGAAAATTGCAGTCAGTGGTGGAAAGTCCTTGAATTTCGGGGCTAACTTTTCAAACCCAAATTCTCAATTGCATAAAAGGAGCAAACACAGAAAGACCTTCAGGATGAAATTGCTCATGTTGTGGAGGAACTAAAAAAGACAGACTCAAGGCTCTTTTTTCACTAAATGGAGTCCTTGAAAGTCCTTGAAAAGTCCTTGAAATTTCTGTTCAAAAAAGGGTACAAACCCTGCATATCCGAAGGGCACTTGTGGAATAATTGTTAAATATGGGAAAAATGTTCTTGTTTTAATCTTTAATGAGAAAAATTGTTACTGCAGATTCTGGTGTTGTCCTTGAGCGAAGATTTATTGCCTGCATTCTAGCATCAGCATTTTTATGTGCACTTCCTCCACCGCCTGCCAACAGCCAAGTGCGGTCAATCAACTTTGTTGGTTTTTTTGCATGTTTTCACAGGTATGTGAGTTGCCTATGGAATAGAAGGCCAGATTGGCTTAACGATCGTACCCTCCCTTCACTCTCTCCTTCGCAGAGGCTCCTACAGTGTATCCCCATAAAAATAGTGATAGCAATAATCGAAAAAATGGACAGTGCGCGGGGGACAGCGGGAAGAGGGAAAAGACGCGCTCTCTTTTTCTTTCTCCCCAGCCTCCCCACAACACAACAAGGCCTCTGCGGAAGTGAGAGCTCCCTTCAAGACAATCAAGAGTTCCAATAAAGCCAGAAAAGCCTAGCCAGCAAACCTTGCTTTTCTGTATTGACAGTTCCATCCAGTGTGGTCTATGGGTGAACTATTTAACACATTTAACAGTCACTTTTGTTCATCAAATGCTTGTAAAAAAATAGGTTACTTCCTTGGGAATTCACCTTATTTTTTTGCTTTGTTTTATTTTAATAATTTTATAGGGTCTTGACATTTAGCTTAAAGTAAAGTTTTTTCGAATTATGTATGTTTTAATGGTATTTTTATTATAGCTGGAATATTTTTTCCAACAGCATGCGCTCTTTCATTGGTTGCTTTAAGGCCACATGACATCAAAGTAATAAATATTAATTAATTTAATTAATTGATTTTATTTACTATACAAAAATTTTTCTTTAGAGAGGAAATCAAACATACTCAAGCTGCTAAGCTCCGCTGTTTTCTTCACTATTTTGAAAGGCTAAAAAATGACTGGCCAGATGTTAGAGGAAGAGTGTTCTATAGTCGTCAGGTATTAGCTTGTAGTCCATTGTTACAACCTTATGAAGTATTTTTTAAATTTTGTGAATTTTAAGAATTTGTCATTATAATTTGTAAAAAACCACCCCCATTAAATTCTGTATGCTGAACAACCATCCACACGTTTTTTGATGCCCTAGGAAAGAAAGGTTGTTTGAATGATCACATTGCAGAAATAGGCTACTTATGTAGTACAAAACTAATTTGGATACTTTTAATATTATTATGTTTTTGAGGTAATACCAAGTGCCTCTCTTCCAAAGTTTGAGGATTGGGAGTCCTGTGACTTACCCCTCTGTCCTGTCATTATTGATAGTAAAGCTTCCATTGAAGATTCTGGAGGACATATGCTTCAGGTACCTTTAATATGGTGTGGTAATCTATATACATATATTACATGAACTGCAGTGCGGGCCAGTACACTGAGAACATTTATGATCAAAGAATTTGCAGTGCGATCAGAAATGCTGAATGTCCTGATGGTAATCAAAATTGAATTTGCATTTCTCATGAACATGCTGGGCAGAACGTGCATTTGGCCAAAATTAAAACAGACCAAAAATTCTAAATTTTTACCACACAGAATGTTCTGACAAAAAATAATAGTATCTAGCAAGGATATATTTAGGGAAAGAAGTAAAGGTCTATTCTAGATGAATTTCAGGAAGAATGGCTTAAGTTTGGCAGTTATAGCTTGAA